CCACGTTTTCCGAAACGTATCATGCCTTTCCAGGGTGAGACCTTCAGGAGAACGCGGTCACCAACCTGGAATTCCAAGGGTTTTCGTCTCTTATCGGCGTAGCTCTTTTGTCTATCCGAGAGGCTTTCAGTCGCTCTCGGATTTGTACGATCTTTTCTGTTGTCTCTCGGATGATCTCAGGTCCAGTGAGAGTACTGTCGGGGACTTGACCCCTGGCTAGCTGCGTGTCACCCACTTCAGCCCAGCACAGAGGGGATCTGCACTTGCGGCCATAAAGGGCTTCAAACGACGCAACCTTGATGTTGTTTTGGTAGCTGTTGTTGTAGGAAAATTCGACCAAAGGAAGATGAGTGTCCCATGATATACGAAAGTCGATGACACGGGCTCTCATCATATCTTCCAATGTATGGATCGTCCTCTCACTCTGACCATCTGTTTGAGGATGATAAGCTGTGCTCATACCAACTTAGTTCCCAGCGCCTTCTGAAGTGATTGCCAGAACCTTGAGGTGAAACCTGCTATCTCGGTCGGAAATAATGGATACAGGTACCCCGTGAAGCGAAGAACTATCTCTCGAATGTAGATTGCGTGAGTCTCTCCATTTTGAAGTTTTCTTTGATTGGCACGAAGTGAGCGGATTTTTGTCAACCGATCGACAATTACCCAGATGGCGTCGTGCCCACTCGGGGATCTAGGTAACTTAGTGATAAAATCCATTGTTATCATTTCCCACTTCCACTTAGGTATTTATGGCGCTACTTAAGTAATCCTGAGGGCTTTGATACTCCACCTTCACCTGGCGCAAGTCAAGCACTTGCCCACGAAGGTTGCAATTTCTGCTTTCATGTTTGGCCACCAATAAAATTGTTTGAGGTCCAGATACATCTTATCTGAACCTGGGTGAACGGAGTATTTCGTCTTGTGAGCCTCATTCATGACAATCTCTCTGTACCCGCCGAATTTTGGGGTCCAGATCCGGTTCATGAAATAGTACACTCCGTCTCCCTTGATCTCTAAGTTCTTGTCCATTCCCCGCAATGCTTCATCCGCCACTTTCTCTGGTTTCAAGGCTTCCAGCTGAGCCTCTCTGATTTGCGCGGATAGATGGGAATGAACGGTCATTGTCAATGCCTTCACCTTTCACCCTGAATACTCCTTTCGGCTGAGGGCATCTGCTACCACATTAGCCTTGCCGGGATGGTAGCTAATTTCGCACTCGTAGTCACTGAGTATCTCCACCCATCGTCGCTGTCTCATGTTTAACTCCTTCTGATCAAAGATGTGCTGCAGGCTCTTATGGTCGGTGAAGATAGTGCACTTGGTTCCATAGAGATAGTGTCTCCAGATTTTCAACGCAAAGACCACTGCTCCCAACTCTAGATCGTGAGTTGTGTAATTGACCTCGTGTGTTTTCAACTGCCTCGAGGCATAAGCGATAACCTTTCCTTGTTGCATGAGCACACAGCCTAAGCCCTGATTGGATGCATCACAGTAGACAACGAAGTCTTCCGTACCTTCGGGCAGGGACAAGATAGGTGCGCTGCACAGGGCCTGATTCAATGTTTGAAATGCAGTATCTTGCTTGGCTCCCCAACTAAAGGTTACACCTTTCTGTGTCAGGGTAGTTAGAGGCTTAGCGATTCTGGAGAAGTTCTGGATGAACCTGCGATAATAGCCTGCGAGACCCAAGAATTGTCGGATTTCTGTGGGTGTCTTTGGTGCAGACCAATTTTCAATCGCTTTAATCTTGGAAGGTTCCACATGTATTCCTTCCTTGCTAATCACGTGACGTAGGAAATTTACCTTCCTGATCCAGAACTCACACTTTGAAAATTTCGCGTATAGCTTTTCCGCCCTTAATGTTTCCAACACCTGCCTCAAGTGTTGTTTATGATCACTCTCACTCTGCGAATAGACAAGTATATCATTGATGAACCCGATCACGAACTTGTCTAGGAAAGGGCGGCACACCCGATTCATCAGATCCATGAATACTGCCGGTGTGTTGGTCAGACCAAAGGGCATCACTACAAACTCGTAGTGTCCATAGCGAGTTCAGAATGCTATCTTGGGCACATCATTCTCGTGAACTCGCAACTGATGGTACCCTGATCTTAGATCTATCTTTGAAAAGTAACTGGCTCCCTGCAGTTGATCGAAGAGGTCGTCGATTCTGGGTAAAGGATAACGGTTCTTGATCGTCAGCTTGTTCAGTTCTCGGTAGTCAATGCACATCCGAAAAGATCCATCTTTCTTTTTCATGAATAAGATCGGAGCTCCCCAGGGGTGAGGAACTTGGCCTTATGAATCCCTTGGTGATCAGCTCATTGAGCTGGCTGGATAACTCTTGCATTTCCGCCGACGCTAAACGATAAGGGGACTTAGCTACGGGAGTAGCTCCGGGGATTAAGTCGATACGAAACTCGACTTGACGCTCGGGAGGAATTCCTGGGAGGTCTTCGGGGAAGACATCAGGAAAGTTACAGACTTCGGGAAGACTCCCGAGGTCTTTAACTTTTTGCGTCTCATCAACAACGTGAGCTAGGAATGCATGGCATTCCTTCCGCAGATACTTTTGGGCCTTGATGCATGAAATGATACGAAGGTTCGAGCTAAGTTTATCTCCATAAATCATGAGGGTTTCACCTGAGGGAAGATTGAGACGGATAGCTTTCTCGAAACAGAGAATATCAGCACGATTGGAGCTCAACCAGTCCATGCCGATAATGACATCGAAACTCTTGATGGATACCGGCATAAGATCGATGGGAAATGAGTGATTGTCTAGGGTAAGAGTACAGCCTATGAATACATCGCTAGCGCTCTCTTTCTTTCTGTTAGCCATCTCGATAGTGAACGTTTCAGTTAAAGGTTGGGGTTTACATTTGATTAGATGTTTGAATGCATGACTCACAAAGCTCCTCTCCGCACCAGAATCGAAAAGAATGCATGCATAAGAGTTGTCAAGGAGGAACGTACCCGTAACAACGGTAGGATCAGCGACCGCTTCCTCCTGCCCCATTGCCAGAACTCTCCCTGTATTGCCACCAGTTGTTGCCTTGGGGAAGTTTCTCCTGAAGTGCCCAGCCTCTCCACATCCATAACAAGCTTGACCAACACCCGCTCCCGGAGCCTGGTTGGTCGGTTGGGTTGACACCTTGCAGAACCGAGCTGTGTGTCCCTTCCTTCCACAGCTGTTGCAACTCAACTCACGGTAGGGTCCGTGATGATGAAAGTTACACTTGTTGCACAGAGGTAGCTTCCCTGCATAAACACCGGTAGGAGCTTGAGTGGTTGAAATGGCAGCTGGAGTGGCAGTAGGATTAGTAGCAGCATGAACTGCCACTGTTTGTTGCTTCTTGGAAGGCTCCTGCGAAGACTGACCCTTCCGTTTGTTCCACGATTTCTTCTTCTTCCCACCACTTTCCTTCTGTGGCTCAGAAACAGCTGCCACCTCATCTAGATCAACCCCATTATCGATCAGAACCTGTGCTAGATCCTTGGCGCTTTCAAATGTAGTCGGTGTAGCAGCCAAGACATTTCCCTTGGTTGGTTGAGTCAGTCCCCAGATGTACCTCTCGATTTTCTTTCTTTCCGGGGTGACCATTCCCGGACAGAGAAGCGACAGATCACAGAATCTAGCAGTGTAGGCAGCAATGTCAGAACCCTTCATCTTCAAGTTCCAAAGTTCATGCTCCAACTTTTGCACCTCGCCCCTCGGGCAGTATTCAGCAAGCATGAGTTCCTTCAGTCTTTCCCAACCCATGACATTAGCCATTGGCAAGGTTAAGGTTTTGACTCGACCATTCCACCAGGTCAAAGCTCTGTCGGTGAAGGTGCAGGCGGCGGACTTCACCTTGTTGGCTTCGGAACAGGCGCAAATTTCGAAGATGGATTCGATCTTCTCGAACCATCGAGTCAGAGCGATGACTCCTCCGTTTCCGTCGAAGGACTTGGGTTTTGCGGTCATGAAGTCTTTGTAGGAACACTCCTTTTGATGTCCCTGACTTCCGTCTTGCCGTTGGGGGTCAGTTCCACCTCCATCCCCACCAGAGTTCACTTGTGCCATTGCTGCGGTTACAGCGGCGGTAACTGCTGCCTGGAACATGACGGGGTCGAACTGAGGGGGTGGTGGTGGTTGTGGAGTGTCATCGTTTCTTCTGATGGGTCTTGGTCGGGGAGGCATCTTGTTCTAGAAACAATCAGGAAGAAGAGGATGGTAAGTCCTCAAGATATATGAAATAAAATATATCTCATCCTGATAAACAAGTGTTCTACCAAGCGATAAGCAAGAAAGGTTACTAATGTAACTAAGTTATTGCTACGAAACAAATAGGTAGCAACACTAAGAATGAATCTCCTCATTGAATTTGGCTCTAGCAAAATACTCCTATAGTATTTTATGATGAATGTTTTTGGTAAGTTTTAGGCATGCTGTAACACCACAGTCACTCCCAAGCACATGTTCGTCATGTCTCGACTGAATATAGTTGATCAGGCTATATTCACCCCAGACATGATCACATAACTGCCCAGGCTTAGCCGCAGCGTACCAACATCCAAATACTTTTTGTGTTGTTCCACTAATGACACGAATTCTGTTATGTACGCATGCTCGTATACTTTTATAAAAATACTTATATTTTTGAAAGTATACTTTTAGTGTAGAGCACTTAGGCCCCTTTAGTGTTTATAGTTGTATACCACGTAAGGTTTGATATACTAGTTCGCTATAAAAAAGGGCTCTGATACCAATCTGTCACACCCCAAAACCAGAATGGCGGAAACGCTCTAGGGTGGAGGACGTCATGTATAGCATCACAACCAATGTATAATAACAATCATAGCAACGCAACCATTACAATGAATACTTAAATAAAAGTGTTTACATATATTTGGAAATTGTCTGAAACTCGTTTGAATTACATCATATAGTTTGTATAAATATAAACTTTAAACTCTTATTGCTCCGACTCCTCAAAAACCCAGCAGGTACCTGTCTACTGATTTCCTGAGAATACAAGCAGTTTGAAAATATCAGCATAAAGCTGGTGAGTTCATAAGCAGTAGTTTGTAATGAAAACTTGTTGATGAGCTAGCAGAAATGTTCGTATAGTTTCAAGAAAATCCGATATTTTCTTTAGTGAAAATGTAGTGTTATCAGTTCTGTAATAAACCATGAATATATGTATGTTTCCAAGAAAATCCGATATTTTCTTTAGTGAAAATGTAGCGTTATCAGTTCCGTATAAAACCATGAATGTTCGTTACTGAAAACTGTAGCGATATGCGAAAATACTACCTCATGTGACTAGCTAAAGCTAATCATGAAGTATAAGTATTTTGTACGTGAAACCATTGCATAATCGGTTCTGTTTGAAAACCCTGGCTTTAACCAGTATACGTAGTGTGTTTTAGCTCTATTTAGTATAAATAAAACCGTTGAAGAGTGTTAGATTGTAAACTAAAGGTGATTTATACATAATGTGAGTCGTATAACCATGCTTGATATGACTAGAGACCTTTCCAACGTTCTTCAGGCGTTGAGTTAAATGACATTTGTCACCCCAGACATGCCTGCCTAACTGTAGCTAGCAGTTCGGGTGTGCGATTGTCAGTCCTGAATAGATCTATTCACAAATCTCACGCTCTCCCTCCAGGAGACTCTGGTTATACTATGATAGGATTTATCCCTGTACACCTAAGGGTACAGTAGTGAAGTAGCACCTCACAGTATCGTACAATCTAGTTTACAGGTAGTGTCGTAGCGTTTTATCATAGCGAAAATCCGTATGTATACCGTATGTAGTGAATATTACAGTTATGAATACCATGATGATGCAGTGATGTAAAATGTAAACCATTTCTGTATTAGTGCATACGTTTAGTAGTGAAAGTTTATGTACTTGTTATGTTTTAGAAAATCCCAAACTATACCAATTATAGTTTGCATGTATAGTGTAGTGAATATCGAGTCCGGAAAACTATGCAATTTTTAGTGAAAACGTCCTTTATGCTCAACACGGTACAAAAGGGTTATTGTATGAGAATTGCATGAGTTTTATACTTGTTAAAAGCTCTTTGTATTAACAAAAGCATTTAAGGTTTAGCTTGTATTCCCCCCTGAAAACGTTTGAAAACCAGTAAAAATGTAGGGGTATGAACTCACCTCGGGTAAGTGGTTTGATTGAAGGATCGATACGGAAAGATGGGTGTTCAAGTGAAGCCTTGAACACGATTCGATCCTAACTAACACGCAATGACACATAAACGAGTCAAATGAGGGTATTTCACTACTAAATACCATTGGAATTCACTCTAGGGACTTGAAACTACTTGCACCAAGTGATAGGACCTTGTAGGATTGAGTATAGGGGGTGTATGGCCACATAGAGTGGGTGTGCGGCCATGGGGTGCGGCCGTACACTCATGAAATGAGGTGTCTTCGAAGTGTTCTCAAGGTCCATACTCACATCCACGAAGTGTTCTAGGTCTATACTCAATTGTAGTGCAAGATAAGGGTCCTAGAAGTGGGTTTTTGGTCCTAGAATGAGTGTATGGTCGCACACAAGAGTGTGTGGTCGCACACTTGGGTGTGCTGCCGCACACTTGGAGTGTGCTGCCGCACAAGGGTGTGTGCGGCCGTACACAGGTGTGTGCGGGCGCACACCCCACCCAAAAATGTCCAAAAATGCTATTTCGAATGTACAACAAGGCTAGGGGCATGTCTTCATCGAATATGGAAGTTAAACTCTCACTTTGGAGGGAACCGGTGTGAGCACAAGTGACCATATGATGGATGTTCTTAGGTTGTGAAGGAGACAGAGCTGAAGGGAGAGACTGTTGAGCCGAGGATGGAGGTGAAGAAGGAAAGGTGCTCTCGGGTTAATACGTGGGAGGAGAAAGGGCGTTGGTAGGAGAAGTAGGCATGATAGGAATGATATCATCATCGGAGAGAATATAATCATAGTCCTTGGTGGAAGAGGTTGATGAAAATATGAGAAAGGGAGTTGGTCTTCATAAAAAATGACATGCCAAGAAATGATGACACGTTTAGTAAGCAGGTCATGGCATCGATGACCTCTATGATCAGGCGCATGGGACAAGATAGACACAAGCAGAATATCACAAAGAAAGTTTGTGTGGAGTAGTGGCCAATGTATTTGGGTAACAGAGACAACCAAATACACGCAAGTGAGTATAATATGGCGAGAGACCAAAAAGGATTTCAAATGGGGTTTTGAAGTCAAGTGTGGAAGTAGGAAGAAGATTAATGGTAGGAGAGCTTCAACCCAAAACTTGGGAGGTAGAAAAGCTTGAAAGAAAGAAGTGCACACAAGATTATTAATGGTGAGAATCTAGCGTTCCACCTTCCCACTTTGTTGGGATGTGTAGGGACAAGAAATACGCATTTGAATGACATTCGAGTGAAACAAGTTGAGAAGATATTGGTTGTTGAATTCACGACCATTATCATATTGAAAAGATTGGATATCACATTTGAATTGATTTTTGACGTAGGAGCGAAAGTTGTAAAAAATAGAGAAAACATCATATTTTAAGTGTAAGGGAAGCACTCACAAAAATGAGAAAAATCATCTAAAAACATGATATAATATTTGAAGGCACTTATACTCATAACAGGAGATGTCCACAAGTGATAATGCACTAATTCAAACACACGAGAAGTATTGAGAACGGACTTAGGAAACTTAAGACGACAATGTTTACCTAGTTGACAAGCATGACAAATAGGTAATTTATTATTACTACTAGAAATAAAACGATGACTATGCAAAACCTGAAGAACCACAGATCCGAGATGACCTAATCTACGATGCCAAGTGGGTAGCATGACAACAGCAAACGAGACAACAGGAGTGGTGGAAACGGTAGAAAGAGTGATTGGGTACAAATCGCCAGTGCTATCGGACCGGTACAGAAGTTCATCCGAGTCAATATCCTTAATAGAAAAACCAAACGGGTCGAAAGAAACGGAAACACGATTATCAGTAGCAAATTTCCTTACAAAGCAAAGATTTTTAACCAATTGAGGTGACACTAAGACCTCTTTTAACATAAACTTGTTGTTAGAAAACAGTATTATGGCGTGACCTATAAAATTAGGCGGTATGATAGCACCATTTCCAACCATGAAAGACATAGGCGTACAAGGTGCTAAAGAAAGCATGTTACCTTGATTGAAGGACATGTACGAGCTTGCTCCTGTATCCATGTAATAATTGTTGTGTTGCGAAGGTTGAATGGACATGGCTTGGAAGATGGAGCTCAAGTTGGTAAATTGAGGCGGGTTTGTTGGAACTTGACCACCATTGAAGGTGGTTGAATGCATCACGGAAGAGGGGCCAGGGACCTGATCGGAACAGCAGAGGGTTGTTGGAAGACGCCGACGGGCTATTGGAATCCGGTAGGAAGTGCGGCAGCAACAAGTTGCATCGGAAAGGAGGCGGCAGCAGCATCATATGGTGGTGGTAGCTGGTAGCATCCAACAAAAGTTCAAGAAAGGGATGTTGTGCAAATCCAGGGGCTATTGGAATCCTCAAGATCCCTTTCTTGAGGTGCATTCCCAAGTAAACCTGCAAACTGAGATTGAAAACTCGTGGTTGTGCCTGCAAATGGGTTAGCATTCACTCGGGAAAACAGAAGCAATAGTATGTGAGATAAAGAATCACAAGAGTGATTAGAATTATACCTCAAAGGACGGTAATGCTAGTAACCCAGAATGACAAACCCCGAAAGGTAGGTAACTAGTGTAATGCTTGAACTGATCCCAGAGATGTAACAATGAAATGATGCGTCTGGAGAAGAATCACTGGAGCGATCAAGGAGTCACTTGATGGAACCAATAAGGTTGAATCGATCGACGAGAAGCAGGTCCGGTCGAGAGAAAAAAATGTAGGGATGATTTAGGGTTGACACCGTTTTAGTGCTAGGCTTGATACCATGATAGATATTGAAAATAAACTCCGTTAGGATATCTATACATTTCATCCAATATATAATACAAGAGTATACAATATTTACGTATAGCACCGTACACTACAAACAATGATAAAACATATCTAACATGAACAATCATTACATAAGAAGTAAATGTATTATTACATTTAAAACACATTCCTTGATATAACTCAAAGATAACGAGTCTAGTCAATTTGTAAGATGAGCTAAATATAATTTTCAAACCATATCAAATTGAAACACGTAAACAAAATAATCATATTTTACAAACTGAAATTCCATAATCAATTGAACTAACTCATTTTAGTGAACTATAAATAAAACTAGCAGCATTTAGTAAATACTAATGGGCTGTTTCATAGTTTATTATGTCAAATCTGATTGGTATGAAGTCCGACTTAATTTATTCAGTGTTGTTTGAGTATGCATCGGTTGTGCCAAACTCGTGAACATGGCTATTTTACCTTTATATTCTATTTTCAACACAATATACATATGTTCATAACAAAAAAAAAAAAAAAAATGCAACATCCTAACATCAAGCCATAACTATAATACAGTATCATTCCATTTTCATTACTTAGCAATTGGGATTTAAGTCGCATAGCTACAGGAATCTCGGTAGGTCAAAAATCCAAAGATGAGGTCTTCCATTTTTTCATCTTTGACTTTTAAATCCAAGTTTGGCATTCGATAATTAGTTTATCAACCACAAATTTACAAAATTACATATTAAAATACAACGTTATCTCCTTATTTCCTTCAGGTTAATTAATCATTAAACTAAAAAGATTTATCGAGTAGCACCCCAAAGTCAGAACCAAATTAGCAATTACAAATTTGACATTTGTAAAACCTTAAAGACTTTGAAAACTGATAAAACAATTTTGAAGTCAAAATTACCTCAAAGTCTCAGAGATGAGAGTCATGTGGTCCTAATAATTTTTATTATCTAAGTTTCGATTTTTTTGAATTTTGTATTTGATAATTGTTTGTCAGACCTTCCACCATATCTCAAAAAATTTTGATTTTTCACTGTCATCCAATCAAACACGAGGAAACTATTCAAAGTTTATGACGAAAATGACCTACCGAAATCCAAGTTATCGACATAAAAAAAAAATAGGGTCCTTTTTTCGCTTTTATAAATATCCAATCTTTATCTTTATCAAAAGCAAAGTATTTGACCAAATTACCCTCGACACAAAGCAGTCACCTATCACAAACATTTTGCGTTTGTGACAATGTGTAATAATATTATGGTTCCACTTCTATGTATCATAAACAAAATAACATATGTTTCATGTCACGCCATATGGGCTAACCCTAACCCGTGTGCATTATCTTACAAAAAAGCTGACCAGGGTGGCCCAGTATCCAGCCAACTGCATGAACCAAGAAACTCGGTTAACCATGTTTTACGAGCCGAGTGGCTAAACGGCTAAACCACTATGAGCTCACCTGAGCCAAAATGCCATTTCCACTTTGACCTTCGAGGACTAAGCCTGTGGTTAGGCCAATCATAGCCCAAGCTCCATTTATGGCTTCTATTTGACGTCTCCTCTGCAACATTGTTTTATCAGAACATGACTGTGTACTGTATACTGTGTACTGTGTATAATAATTACAAAAAACGTACTTGAAAACTTTGTTTTGCTTTAATGGCTTCCATTTGTTTAGCCGCTAAACGTTTTGCTTCAACGGGGATCAACCATGATCACTTCTTTCCTCGACCTTCCACTTGCTATTGTAACCTACATTATTAAAAAATAAAAACTATTTTCTAGAATCAAATTTGTATAAAAACCTATATTAATCTCCAAAATTAGAAATTATCTTACCTATAACGTGTTCAAGATCAATGAATACTGAGTTATGTTCAATTATGCATTATATATTTGTTGATTAAAAACTAACATAGACAACAAATTACATGAATCTAATTATCGAGTGTCTTTTTTATGATGGTTTATAGTTTTTAATGACATACATTAGGATTAGCTACACGAAATGCTTCATCTTTGGTTCTACGAATCGCAGGTCCCAAATCAATCTCTTTTCTGAAACCCCATCTGGAAAAAATCAAAAGAAAAAAAGATAGAATTCATAAATTTTAAGATAAAGATCCCACTTCAACCAATTTCCTTTTCTAGGGTTTGAGCCATTTTCTATGTATCTTTCTTCCTGCAGATTTCTTAATACGAGTTCATTAAATGTGATGTTTAAGGTCAATTTTCTTTCAAAATCAGGAGCTGGTAAACTTGTCTTATAAGATGAAGCTTAGTGAGATGTTTACATATATGATTTCTGAACTGGAAACTAATCAATTGAGCATAATTTTTGAAATGTCATATGAAATTTTGAACCGGAAACTAATCAATTGAGTATAAATTTTTCATGGGCTAAGAAAAGTATCACATTTCGAGAACACCCAATTGTGTTCTGAACTATTTTCTTGAAATTAACCATACAGAGTCAAGAAAACTTAAACGACTATTAAAGCAACAAAATTCGACGAAATTGGATACTGGAAATTGTTGAATTTACCTGGTTGGTGTTGCAGAGTGTCGATAGTTGGAGAAAGATGAACATGATTGTTGTTGGAGAAGAAGATTGCCATTTGCGGACCACAGTGAGGACGAAGAAGAAACCATATTTTTGGTTCTTTCTCAGAACCACAGAAGGGGGTTTTGTAAATTGCTATTTTTTCATCATCGGATAATGAACAAGGGAGATGTGGAGGTTAGGAGTTGTAGCGTGTATTTACATTTTGATTCATGTACTTCAGGAACATCCATTTTGACTCCCTGGAGTTTGTGAAAGAGAGATGATTTGTTTTTTTTTTCATGCCATTTAAGGATCGTGTATTCATGTTCCTCCCTCATTCGTTGACAAACACTACAATCGTGTTCGGCAAAAATAGTTGGTAGCGGGTAGCTTGTAGCGAGAAACAGGTAGCTTCTAGCTGATAGTGTTTTGTTAAACGCTACGTGAAGTAGCATTTCGATTTAGACCATTTTGTTTAAACTAAACACGAAAGCTTGTAGTGCCAAACGAGACTTTTTGTTCAAAACGGAGCGTTTTGTCAAATGCTAGAAGCTAGAAGCTCTCAAACGCTCCCAAAAGCTCCGTACTGAACACGTCCTACGTTCTTGAGTTTAAAATTAAGAAAGGAAAGAAAAATGTATGATGCAAAAAAAAGATTCAACTAGTTGTGTTTTCGAGTTAGAAAGATATTAAACAAACTAAGGATAAAATATAGGTTTATCCTTCCATAAAAATAACTATAGAAACATGTTTTTCCTTTTAATTAATCTCTCATAATCCTCTTATTTCCTCCGACAAAAAATTAAGGATTTTTGTCATAGAGACCCAACTACCTTTTATATAACGTTTTAAAAGACCATTTTTATTTTATTTGACCTTTATAGACCCCCAAACTCGAAAATTACCTATTTAATAAGCCACTAACATAAAATGTGACCTACGATTACCGGTTATCTACAATTGACAGTGTATAAGTGGAGAATGTTGTCCACGTAGATACACAGTTGGCAGGTGACTCATCAGCTTCATTAGTAAGCTAGTAAGCGTACCCTAAATGAAGACAACATCGTCAAGATCATTTCCCATTTATAACATTTCTTTGTCTGCTCTCAAACCCTTAAAAATTGATTCATCTTCGATGACATACTCATCCGAATCACAAAGCTATGAGAACCAAACTATTGTAACTACTAGGAATTGTGATAACAACTTATGTGGTTGTTGTCATCCAAAGCTTAGCGTAGAAAGGATGTCATTGTCTGATAAGAATCCAACTCACAGATTTCGCAACTATGTTGAATCTTTGGTAAGCATCATCTTCTTTAGTTGTGTTGTCGACAATGTTGAATTAGGGGTTATGAAACAATGGCGACAATGTTTAGTTTAGGGTTTACTGTTGTCGATAAAGTCGTCTTTTTCACCCGAAATTAATAATCTTTATCGATAATGGAAATGAGGTTGTTGTGCTCCGTGTAATTGGATATTTGTTTGGTATGTTTGTTTGTAAGTGGATATGGCAACTGAAAAGTGTAAATACTTCAAGTGGATCAATGGTGAGCTAAAACCACACTACAAGAATACCTTTAACAATCTCAAGTATGAGCTGCAAATAATGAAAGACACCAGTTACCCTAGAAGAATGGAGAGAAGGATAGCTATGCTGGAGAACCTGAATCCTGAAACTACTGTTGGTAAAGCAATTGTTGACGCTGAGTTTTCCATGACAGTTGAAGAAAACTAACAATTGAGGGGGTGAATTGAAGGTGGTGAGGATAAAGTTAAGGGTTGCTATGATGTTTCTTGTGCTTCTTGTTGTTGTGTTGATGATGCAGAAAACTAAGTGATGGGGGTGGTTCTTTGTAGTTTGTGGTGTTTGGTTGTTTAGATGCTCTCTCCTTTTTGCAAACATGGGTTGGGGATAGGGATGGTTGATGTTGTTTTTGGTGGTTTGGATACTGGTTAGTATTTGTAGGGATGTAAATGCCCATGTATGGTAAATCCCCCTATATTTTAACCTACTTTTGTATCTAATGGAAACAAGCATCTTTCTATTACTATAGTTTTGTTCCACTGCATTGTCTTGTTAAGTGTATAGATACCTTTTACATATTCCAATGGGTAACCATATTCCAATTGACATGGGCACACCAGACAAACATAAAAGTCATTGGTTATTGTATTCAATTATGGACCATATAAAAACCTGGACATAAGGGATCCACCACATGTCCAATTTGAAAGTGATTTGGAGTAGTGTACAATAATGAACATTGACCAAAACAATTGAATACTGCTAAAACAAAGTACCATTCAAGGTTCTTAGAACAAGAAGTCATAAATACAAAATACATATGTTGTATCCATGTGAATAATTAAAGGTTTAAAAGACACAAATGTTTCCCATGCAACAACAACATAAACCAGTACATACCATAAAGGTTCAAAAGACAACACATGTTCCCATTTAATCACCTAATCTAAATCCATTGCATTTGTTGTTGAGCTTCCTTCACCATTTTTTCCATACACTGCTTTTGCAAGTTTAGTCTTCAAAGTTCTCTTAGAAGGCTTTCTTGTTCTAATAACACCACCCATGCCCCTTGCATTAACCTATAATAGACAAAATTACCATATTATCCTTCCATTCAAATATTACTTAAAAGTTTGAGAATGCATGGTGCTGAACATACCCCTTTCTTATGAACACCATGCACTCCACCACATTGACCACCATTCACTACATTCATTTCTTCAGCCATTGGAACATCATGCATTCCATCACTATTCACTGCTCCATGCACTCCTCCTGTACCTTCTTTTACTCATCCTTCACATAAATATTCGTGTACAAGAGCACATGTGAAAGACCATTCTCCACTGCAGCATAAGCCCTGGCTACCTCATAAAATGCTCTTGACCATGTCTTTGGATCCTTTTCCATCAAATAGTTATGGCCTTCTGGGCTTAATTTTTCCATTTGTTTCATGAACACATTGAAAGATTGCGGTGTTGTTGCATTGCAAGCCTTCCAAAATAGGTTCTCAAAAATTGCCCCTGCAAACCTCTTTTTAAAGTTTGCAACAATGTGCCTTGCACATTGTCTATGCTCGGCACAAGGAAGCACATCCTTAATTGCCTCCATAAGACCCTTGTGTTGGTCAGAAATTAACGTGAACCCAGTTCCCATACCTAGTTCAAGACCATCTCTCAGCAACTCCAAAAAACACATCTAATTATCCTTATTCTCAACACACACTATTGCCCATGCAACTGGAAAGATCTGGTTGTTAGCATCTCTTCCCATAGCACACAGTAACTCCCCAGTGCATACACTTTTAAGGAAACACCCATCTATCCCTAACACCTTTTTACACCTTTCTAACCAACCAGTTTTCACATTAGCAAAACATACATAGAACTTACTAAAGTAATTCAAACCATCAGGCATGCATTGGACATCTATTTTAACTGTTGAACTTAGATTGCTTCTTCTAATTCCCTCCCCATAAGACCATAATTTTACATAATGCTCAGTAAGGGTCCCCTCAATAAGACTCATGGCATGTGCCTTTTCCCTTCTATATTGACTTAAACTTAACTGTATTCCAAACTTCATGATGACCTCCAATCTCAGTTGTCTTTAGTTAGCTTCTGTCTGTGAAAAATTTCCTTAGTATAATGTTCTCCTATCCATGAGCATTTGACAACTGAACCTAGTTTCTAGTTTCTAGCACAATTATGGTCAACCTTCAATGACTTGATTTGAAATGACACCTCCTGCCTCATCCACGTAGCCCATAATCTGAATGGGCAAGCTCCTTTGAAACACACCACTGAAAACCTTTTACTGTCATTTCTAGCTCCACCCTCATCTAAATGGGCAAGCTCCTTTGAGGCATGGTTTCCTTCATTTCTAGCTCCACCCTCATCTTCAAGGCCACTTTCATCATCTTCACTAACAACTAGATTCATGTCATCATCCTACCATTCCTCCAAACCATTCCCATCACGATCAACATAAAGTGAAATTTCCCCATATTCATACCCAAATATCTATAAATTGGGCATAATCCAAGTCATCTACTATGGGACGAATCCCTCTAGATAAAGCAATGCTAGGTATGCAGTAGTAGAGGTTTTGAAACTCCTCCCCTATTACTCTTTCAAGAAAACCAAAACAGTCCCTTACATCCATACCTGCCCAATCAACGTCGGTAAAGAGGAAGTGATTCCCATCAACATATCCATAAGGATGTCACACAAATACACCATTGTAGTGTAGATGAACTCTCAGATAGACAACTTCGTTATTGTTCTCAGCGATGCAACAGTAAAACAAAAATCAAAGAGTAGAATACCTTGGAGAGCAGTTGTGTAATCTTAATAGTGGCGTAGATGGTTAAAAACCCTAGTTCAAGATCTTCCTTCTCTTCTTATAGGACATACGACCGAGGTAAGAAAAATGGATTTAAATATTTACACTCTGGAATAACACACATTGCTCTTTTTAAAGTTGACTAACTAAATCAAAGGCCACATCACCTGTTTTACCGGTTAACTTAATGAAAAGATGAATAATGGCAAGGGTGACATGTAATTTTCGAGTTTGGGGGTCTATAAATGTCAAATAAAACAAAAATGGTCTTTTAAAACCTTATGTAAAAGGTAGTTGGGTCTCAATGACAACAACCCAAAAATTAAAGAAGAGGGTTAAAGAGCATGATGTGAGCGTAACAAGTCATGGGAGCGAGCATTAATGACACATGAGAATGTAGTCCGACTATATAAAGATGTTTTAATGGACCGGTAGTGATTAGGCAAAAAATTTGAATATTTAGTTATTCAGTGAAAAATCATATTAGCTGGTTTTATGTCGGAAGACAATCAATTTTTTCTGAATCTAAGAAAATGACAAACATCTCTGCGAACATATAAACTCGAATTCGCGTGTATTCTTCATCTCACGAAAGGGAACAACAATAAACTACTTGCACGGTTTTGATTTATTTTTCGCTGTGGAAACTTTAAAATAAATTCAATGTTACCGCCTAATAAAACTCGATAATGGTTCGCGAGACACCATTTTTCTGATACGAGTTGGTAGATTTTTGAATGAGAGACGTAAATTTAAATATGCAATGATAATTAAGGAGGACAAAAAAAAAGATATGTATGGTTCACATGATTA